GTGGAGGGGTGGATGGGTGGATGGATGGATGGATGGATGGATGGATGGATGGATGGATGGACGGATGGATGGATGGGTACATGGGTCCATGGATGGGTGGGTGAGTGGGTGGATGGGTGGGTGGATGGATGGATGGGTGGAGGGGGGGCGGCCCCTGCTCCGTGCGGGAGCCGCGGCTCGGGGATGCCCCGCGGCGATTGGCGGGGACCGAGCGGGACAATCCAAGGGGGGGATGCGGAGGGCGAACGGGGCGGAATAAACCCGGCAGCGGGACGGGCGCTCCAGACCTTTCCTTCCTCCCAGACCCTCCCGCCTTGTTATCCCAGGCGCCGACCCCAGGAGCGGCCCCGCTGCCCCCCGTGCCCTTTCGCTCCACATTCCCGCCGTGCTGCAGCTCGCCCCCATTCCCAGGAGCCCGAAAGGGATCCGGCGCCTCCTCGTGCTCTGATTGGTTACAATGCTCAGCCAGCAGGTTCTCCGTGTTCTGATTGGCTGTGGCCATTTAAAGGCTTCCCCACACACGCTCTGATTGGCTACAGCCAAAGAAGGCCTTCCGTGTGCTCTGATTGGCTGAAGCCACGTAAAGACTCCCTGTGCTCTGATTGGCTGTGGCCAAAGGATCCCGTGTGTTCTGATTGGCTGCTGCCTGAGACGGGATCTCCTGTGCTCTGATTGGCTGTGGCCAAAGCGAGAACAGGATCCCACGCACTCCAATTGGCTGCAGTCAAAGCGAGGATGGGTCCTGCGCGCTGCGATTGGCTCCCGTGCCCCTGGGGGCCGGGACCGCATCCCAGCGGAGCCGCCATCCCATCCCATCCCCGCGGCACCTGGAGGTGGCACCCGGGGCCCTGGGCGCTGCGCCCTGCCGCGGCGCTGGCCGCTCCCGCTGCCGCAGGCGCACACGCGCTCCCCCGAGGACGTGGGACAGCCGCCCCCCTGGCACTGTCCCCTGCCTCCGGGCAGGGCCGCCGGCGACGGGGACGTCCCCTCGCGCACAGGGAGTGCCCTGGTGCCCCCCGGGCTGGGGACGCGGAGCAGGAGCCTGTCCCCAAGGTCCCCGTGTATCCCACACAGGTCACCGCGCGCTCCACGTGGACCTGTCCCCAGATCTCCATGTGCATCGCGTGGATCTGCGCCCGCGGTGCCCGTGTGCCCCATGTGGACCAGCCCCAGGTCCCGCCTGTCCTGTCCTGCAGGGATGTGTCCCCACAAGGCCCATACGGACCCTGT